TGCCACACAATGCTCCATCATCAAAATGTTCCAACAGATCTTCAAACAAGAAACATTGTCTCATGTTCTGCAAAGGTACAAGTTGTGTGAACTGCGCAATGAATGAACACAAGTGAGATGGTAAGACCTTCCATTGTGGATCATTCCAAAGCTTCCCTTCTCTATTGAAGGCATGCTGTGGTTCCAACATGTCAAAGTCTTCATCATGATTGTAATACACACGCAAGTTCTTGATTGAAGGATCACAACGACAGTAATTTGTCATGTCAAGGTTGAAACAACCAATGTGATACTTGATTCTGTCCTTCTGAAATTTCTTCCAAGTCAAAAACTGAGCAAATCCTGAATCAGGTGGTGCAATCACCAAGAAACCTTTTCCTCGGTCAGCTTGCCATTTCATCACATCAAGGCAAAACTTGAATACCGAGTATTTCCAGGAATTTGGTGAAGGATTTGTGATCAACACGTATTCAGGATCAAGCTTCTCAAGTTGTTTCCAAACTTGGTTTTGTTTCTTTTTGCTGTTGAAACTCCAACCATGCTTGTGGCCAATGGGTTCACCAACCTTCATGTTCAATCGTGCCATGTGCCAACTAAGACCAGTGTTGCTACTGAAAAGTTCCACAACATCACACTTGCCAGTTTGACAAAACCAGTGAGCTTGTTCACCTAAGTATGCTTCAGCATATTCAGCGATATCTGGTTCATAGTCATCTTCATCTTCAACTGCAAGTGGAACAGGTTCCGATGTGTCAAGTCCAGGAACAGCAACATCATGCCATTCATCATGGTCACGTCTCACCTTCGATTGATTAACACGCATGACTGCGTTGTCAACATGAACATTGACCATAGCACCTTCCTGAGAGATAACAGTACCTCTGATCCATCTTTCCTTCTTCCATGCCTTTGAAGCAATAGCATTAGCATTGACAGGGGAACTCCAAACGAAAACCTTGTCACCTGGTTTGTAAGGTCCATCTGATGGCATTGTTCGTTTGGCCATGTCATGTCTGAGGTCAGCAGCTTGTCTGGCTTCCTGATGTGCCCTCAGTGCTAACCTTTGCAACTCGAGTTGTGTTTTGTCTTCAGGTAAAGGATCAACACTAAGTTGAGCAGGATCAGAAGTCTCAATGTCCAGAAGATCTGGTGGTCTTCTACCAGTGGCAATTTCCAAAGGAGAATAACCACTAACAGTGAGTTGAGTGTTTCTGGCCCAAACAGTACGCTTCACAGCTTCTCTGATGGTAATTCCTTTGAACCTATCATCTTCAAGGTTCTTGGACATGATTTGCCATTGTCGTTTGAAAAGTCTGACAGCTGATTCAGCTCTGTTAGGCCATGGGGTTCTTGAACCACAGGGACATTCCTTGATACCATGAGTTCGGTAATAAGTCAGAAAGTCTTCTTGAAAGAAAGCTTCATCACCTACGATGGCTTTAGGCATACAATTGTGTTCATCACTCCACAACCTTAGAGCCTGAATGGTCTCCTTGTTGTTCAGTGAGTTTTGTGCCGTAGCCCAAAGTAAGTTGGTTGCACCATCAAGAACAAGCAACACCATGTACTTGTTCTTCCTCAACTGAATTTCAGCATGATCAACAAAGATAACATCTCCAAAGTTGGTGGATCGTATGCCTGAAATTCTGGCTCGCGGCGGTGGTGCAATGGAAGTACTACACACACGACATTTGTTGTACATCTCCTCATACTTCTGATAAACAGAGTCAGGAAGTCCTAACATGGAAGTCCTTCGTCTGAATTGAGTAGGAGACATGTGATAGTGTTTTTAACATGAAGCTTGTAAAGTTCCACACTATCCTCCAGTTTCCTGAGCATCTTTCTGTATGCTGGTGTCATGGCTTGCACTTCACTACCAGGCAGTGGAATCGAAACTCGCCTAGGCTCAAGAGCATCACTACCTAGTTTCTCAACTTGACTTTCTGAATCTTGCTTACCACGGTTGCGCGCAGGTGCAGAATGTTTTGGTTCAATGACTTGAGGTTCATCTGAATCAATCTTGTCCAAACCTAATTCCCTAGCTACCTTGTCAAGCTCATCTTCTTCATCAAGCTTGGGATAGGAGACAACAACCTTCTTTCTTGATGAACCTGATTGAGAGTCATCGACAACCTGAGGTTTCTGCTTACCTACGTGTCTTTTGGCTGCAGGTGGACCTACCTCAATCTTTTTCGAGCCTGGTCCATTTGAAATCGGTTTGCCTTCCTCCTTCTTTAAGGAGCTTGGCTTCTTCTTCTGTACACCTGATGGCACTGAAGAGGCTGACTCAGGGTGAAAAAGATCATCAATGTTTCCACGAAAGGGCTTTGCACGATCAATGTCACTTCTGACAATCTCATCTGGGATCACGTAGTCCTCCTTGATCTTGTAGATGGTCTTGCCCTTCCAGAACTCTTCACTCTGTTCAGAAAACCTCTTCTTCTCAGTGCGCCAGTTGTCCTTGTGAAGAACCTTCTTCTTGCTCTTCTGGAATTCCATGTGGGTTTCTCTCTCATCAAGAAGTTGATCTTTTGGAATTGGAGTTTTCTCTGATCGAGTCATCTCATGTAAGTTCATTCTCTTGTCCTTGTGGTGCCTGATGAGTTCACGACGTAGTGGATCAACCTGCCAGTAGTCACCAGTCACCAAAGCTTCTCCTTCATGATCATCTTGTTTGACAGCAATCTGACTGTACTCAAAGTGATCGTGTTGTGAATAGAAACTTTTGACTTGTGGAGTCTTGAAATGAACTTGGCTCATGTACCATGCTACATCTTGTAGGTCGAGAATGAGATGAGTACTAATGGCTGTCCTCAAAACCATTTTTCTCATGCCAATACGTGCACAGGACAAATAAGCCTTCTCTGGAGTAAGTTCAAATTGAAATCCAAGGTTTCTCATCTGTGGAAGTGACATCAACAATGGGACATCACCTTCTTCGACAATGTCGAATTCTGTAAACTGAGTGTTCCATCCATGATCATACATGAATATCACGAGCTTCTCAGTACATTTTGATTGTTGTGAGTTTGCAAAGAAGAATCTTGAACTTGTTGGCTGAATTTCATACCAGAGTCCACTGTTGGGATGTGAGTCAACATATCTGCAAAATGCTTCAACTGCTCGTCGAGAGCCCATAGCTCTTGTGCATCCAAGATCCAGAATACACACAGTTGGTGGTGCAGAATTCTCTGTGTGAAAAGCTAGTCCATTCTCACATGCCAGATCAGTTTGTACAGTATGAAATGAAAAAGCACTCTGCTGTGATGGTTCCTCTATCTCTGTAGAGCATCCATATGAAAACAATGATGTGCCTTCTGCCAATGGCTTCCATGAAGCCTCACCTTCTTGAAGACCAACTTGCCTGGGCACTACAGCTGGACGTTGTTGTACACCTTGTCGTAGTGCACCAACTTCTCCAACCAGAACAGGGAATCTCTTCATTTCTCTCCTGTTTTGATGTGCTCTTGCATCACGTTGGTTCTGTCCTCCACGACGAGTGCGTCGTTGTTCATCTTGTGCTGCATACGTGGATGTCAAAACATCAACACGAGCTGGCTCTGTCTCTGCAACATCAACACGTGCCGGTTCAGTTGTTCCAAATGAAAAGAAACCATGACCAGAACTTGAAGCTGCAGAAGAATAATGAGCTTGTTGAGTTTGTTGATTCTGTATGGCAGGAGCTGATGTGGTCTGAGGTTGAACATAGTTCGACTTGCCTTTTCCATCTCCTGGCTTTCCTCCTTTTCCATCATCATCCTTGCCTTTCTTGCCTTTCTTTCCTTTTCCTTTTCCTTTTCCTTTCTTCTGGAAGTATCCATACTCATCCATGTAGTATGAATCATCATAGGCCCAATAGCCTTCATTCCAGGTTTGATCATCGGCCCAATAGCCGTCATAGTTTTCATTCCATTCATCATCTTGCCATTCATCTTCATAACCTTCTTCACTCACCATGTGAGAGCGGCCTTTCCTTCTTCCTTTTCCTCGGCCTTTTCCTTTCCTTGATCTGAAGAACCTTCGTCCTCCTCTGCCTTTTCCTTTTCCTTTTCTCTTTCCTTTACCTTTGCCTCGTCTGATGTATTTGCCTTGGAACCTTCTCTGATACCATGTGAAGTTGGCGTCATCATAAACCCAGAAAACATCTTCTAAAGCATCCAGGAATCCTTCTGCGCCGTCTTCTTCATCTTCGGCCCAATAGCCGTCGGTTCCTTCTAATTCACCTTCATCCAGTACGAGGAAAGATCTTCTCTGTGCCATGCCAGAGGGTTGCATCAATGGATTGTCAACTGCTGTTTTGGTAGTGCAAAACATTTCCAAGAACAGGTCACGTAGTTCTTGAATGCTGTATCGATCGAGGGTTCGTCCACGATGTGTCATGATACTTGTGAGTGTGTTTCTCTGATCTTGACTCAGGTTGATCTCGTTCATGTTCTTGACGTCGTTGTTGAACAAACAGGATTGCTTCAGGACTAGTCACTGTTACTTCTGGAAGTAAATCCATCCAAGACTCAATAAGTCTATTTCCAGTGAGTTGAAATCTAGTCATCCACTTCTGAAGATCCATGGTTCCTCTGTTGAACTTCATGAACTGCATGAAACGGTATAAGAACACGTTCTGGGCACCTTTGATGAAATGAGGTCGTAGAAATCTTTTGAAATAGTGCACTCCTTCATGGGGATCCCTGAGTAGTTCTCTATCCAATAGCCTCTTGTATTGTTGAGCATCTCCTTCCAGTCTGTTGCGCAATGCTGGACCGCGTTTCTCTGGTTCTAACTCCGTAATGTCACACCAGTCATCAATTGCATCTTCAAAAGCAAAGAAGCTGGTTCGCCCATCATAGGCTGGAGCAACCTTTGTGGTCATCTGTTGCGTCATATGAATCTGTGTATGCTGGGGTGCTCTTCTCATTGCATAAGAGTCATATTGGTTCCATTCATTTGCATCGACAATGTCGAAGTCATCATCATCATAGCCATGGCTTGCCATTTCTTGGGCTCTACCTGGAGCTCACCCTCAATGAGGGATCACTGCTCCGCTACCACTTGAAGAGGGGCCCTAGCGTCTACTTCAAGATCAGCTAAGGCGTCTTCCCCAATGACAGCACTTGTTTTACTCAGCCTGTTGCCGGTCTGTGCTTGTCTACAGGGTTACTCTATATACCTCTTGAGCCTTGAAGGGCGCATATAAATGTGCTCAATACTCATGCATGTACCTATGTAGGTATTAGGTCGAAACAAAAACAGGGGGTCCCCCCCTTTCACGTGAAAAATCACGTGATGTCCTTGAGCAGCCCCCGGAATACTTGCTAAAGCAAGAAGACTCCAGCTAGCTGACGCTAGCTTTCGTGAATAGCTAAGTTCCTTTGGAAAACCTGATCAGCAAGTAAAATCCTTATCAATTCTGCCAAAAAGAAGAAGCATCAAATGTCAGAGAGATGAAGTACATCTCTGATTCCACCCAGGGTTTTTTCCCCGTGGGCCTCAGGAAAAGCCCTGAGTAACGGCGCAAGTTCAGCACCTCCTTCACCTCGGCGTTGAATTCCGCCAGGGGCCAGTCCTCCTCCTGCCGGGGAGTGGGGAGAAAGATGGGGGGCCAGCAACCTCTATAAAACAAGGTAAAACCCATGGTCAAAACTAAAAACCATGGTGAAAACCATGGTAAAACCCATGGTTTCCTGTAGATTTGCCATGGGTACCAGTGATGCTTGCAGCAGAAACAGATATATGGATAAGGAATGGGATGGAAAATTGTAGGATATTGTGGGCAGTTGGAACGTCCAAATTTTAACAAAATAGTGAAGCCAAAAGGCCCAAATCAGCTCACCCCACAATTTAGCAAGCGTTGCGGCAATAGTGGCCGAAACGGTGGCGGGACTAGCTAAGCCAGCTAAAAGGATCTTAAAGCAGGTCGGGGGCATCTTAGTTGAACAGTTGAAGCCACCATAGCCATACCCTCGGTATCCTCCAGTAAACTAAAATAGCTATGGAGAATTGCCCATTTAGTTCCGTGAGTTACCTGTTAAAGAAAATTAAAAAAGGAATTCTTAATAGCTATGTCAGTTTACCATGTTTACCAGATGGTAACCATCCACAACCATCCATACCCACATCCCATGCCCGTTTTCCACCCACATCCCGTCCTTGCAATGCACCTGACCCTTCCGGGCCACCACCACCAGGGCTTCACAGCCTGCCTTGAAATTCCAGCGGATCACCACGTCCACAAAGTCACTGTGTTTTGGGTCGGCCAGCACCAGCTTGTACAGCGGCATCTCGATGTCCTCAGCACCGATGACGAAGAACGAAGAACGTTCGAACCAGTTTTTTCGTACCGCGACCAGTAATAATCGCAATCAGAATCACCAAAAATAATTATAATTAATGATGATGATTAAAAAATACTGGTACCCATCCTGATGTTCCCAACGCTGTGATGTCATATTTAGTCGCTACCTCTTGTCGGGATGCTCGAGTTCACTTCAGATACTTTAAGAACTCTAAGAACCAAACATGTCTGAACAACGCCAAATTAAACTAATTACGCAAATCTCAGCATCATTGCGATCCACGTACATTGAAAACCCCTCCACGCGGCGAAACTCGCCATAACCGCTCTCACCCCCCCAGTCTTCATGAAATCCATGGAAGGCTTGAGGCAACTCATCTGCGGGCCAATCAGGAACCTGCCCTGCCAGCCACAAAGCCTTCCGCAATCCATGGCTGCCTGCGTAGCGAATGGGGGGGAGGTACACATTCTCTGGTCCCTTCACTGGTTTCATGGTGGCTTGTGTCCACATAGAGAGTCAGCTGAGTATTGCAAACCACGGACGATTTTGAACAAACAGGTGAGAATTGAATCATAAGTTTATCAAAAGTAGGAATCGAAGCAGCAAAGTGTTCAGAAAGGCAAAGGAGTGACACACACAGATCCCATTCCAAACATCTCTCTTTGCAGTAACAATCCGTCGGCCTGCCGGCCGGTGTTTTGTGGATGTGCTTGCAATACATCTTGTGATAGCTTTAGCTTCATCTATAGATTGCTGCGCGGATTTTTGCTTTGCTTGCGTTGCTCCGGCTGGGTATAGCCTTTCGGTTGAGGCTTGGTACACCTTCGGTTGAGCCCCAGTTCTACAGTTCTCCTGGCTTAGCTTGTGCTACAACTTTAACTTCTTCTTCAGCATCTTCCTCACAAATAGCTCCCTAGCTTTAACTTGTTCTGGATTGAATTCTAGTTCCAACTAGAGTTATAGTTTGATCTTGTTCTACTTTGAATTCGAGTTCTAGTCCTAGCTACAGCAGTACCTTGCTCTTATTCAAGCTTTAGATTTTAGCCCAGCCCTAGCTCCAGCAATGGCTTAATCTTGTTCTAGCTTTAGGTTAAAATCTAGTTCTAGCTCTAGCTATAGGTTCAGACCTACTTGTACCTATAGCTGTAGGTTTAGGTTGAGATCCAGTTGTAGCTATTGCTATAGCTATAATTACCTGAAATCATCTCTTCGACGGATTTTTGCTTCCGCTGCCCTACCCCCCTCCCATCTCCTCATCAACTTTTTACACCAACCGGGCCTGTATGCCAAAGGACAGAGGGCCGGAATGCCGAAGGCTGTTAAATAAGTATGATACTCTGCTTTCTACTCCAGGAAAAGCACCCACTTCTGTTCCTTGTAACCGCTGCCAAGGCACTTTTTTGCTCCTTCTTCGCAGTGCCCAGTGGCGGACACTGCGCCGCCACGTAGAGTGTGGAGGCCCCATAGACGCGCAGTGCCATGATGCGGTCCCCGTTGAAGTTCCAGGGGCTGCGAATCAAGGTCTCACCCGTCAGGAAGAAAGGGATATCAAGCAGCGTGTGATGCGACCAGCTGTTTTCCTAGAGGGAAGAGCGGCCAGGGGATCATGATGCAATTTGCAGTGACGTCACGACGTGAGTTCATTCATAATTTTACCCAAATGGATCATGATGGATCATGGCGGATGGCGGATGGCGAATGGCAGCGGAAAAATGTGTATGATGGAACCTATATAATATAAGCATATAAGCAATAAAACCCAATCAAACGAGTCAATATCAGGACAACCAGCTTCCTTCATTTCCCATCATTCCAAGACATTCCAAAACAGCGTTTCTCTTTTCACATGGCTGTCCTCTTCCGAATGCAACCACGCGTGCATGCCTTTCCGCAGGGGCTCGACATCCAGCGGCTTCGTCAGGTCCAGGGGCTCTACCTGCACCCGCAGGTTGTGGTGCCGACGCTTGGAGCGGATGATCTCCTCCTCCTCTTTGGGCTCCGTGGCCGTGGCGCGGTTGATGGTCGAAAGCCTTGGATCGTTGGGGGAATGTTTGGAGGAAACGCCCAAAATCGAAGTGGGAAATAAATTGAAGATGGGAAACAGTGAGCTGGAGGATGATTTTATTTGAAAGACTGGGAAACACTGCACAAAGTTGATGGTACTCCTGAATCCTTTGACCCCCGTTCAAATGCATTCACGCACGCTATCCCACAGGCTCGCAAATCTGAAAGTATGTCCAACTCGCTCAAAATTCACGGATTGTGTTTTTCAGTTTTAGCCACCCATCATCCACCATCACTGCAACAGCCAGCATCACCGGTGCCAGCGTCTTGGAAGCTAAGAAGCATCCAGCTATGAAAATTGGCCACGTGGTTCACCACATTGTGACCACCCATGCGGCCCACCACCAGGTCGTCTGGAACCATCAGCCTGCAAGATTTGAACCCAGCTGCTGCCAAAAAAAAAACTCAACAGTGGATGAAATTGGGGCGGGGTTGAATCCAGGTCGCAAATTTTGAGCGATTCTCTTGTGTCGCAGGGTTGAACCCCTTCCACATTGTCTCTGTGTATGTGAGAGGGCTCCCTTTGCTTTCCCTTCTTTGTTCAGCTCAACTCCGGTGGCCCCCAATCCATTCCCAAGCTTCCAACCCCGTTCCTGTGGCGTCTCAGCAGTCGGTCGCGAGCACTGGAAGACATTTTCATCTGGAAGCGGAGCGCCAACCATAGGGCAATCAGGGTGAAGGTCACGGCCCAACAGGTGAAGATCAGCCAAAGGCCCACCACCGTGCGCTCCGACTGAAACGGCGACGGGGATGGATGGGGGTGCACTTAGGAGTTGATGAGAGCTTTCAACTTTCTGCGGGGGATCCAATTTTTGACCTTGGCTTCAAAACGTTAAGCACACAATGTCTAGATTCTAGATTCTAGATAATGGAGCTGCCTGGCCATGCTCCATCCTCCATGATCAGAGAAAACAAACACGGCTCCACATGGGTAGAAAGCATGACTGCAGTGTATGGACCCATCAGCCCAACCTCCTCTGGCGGAAAGCCCTCTATGCACATGTTCCAGCAAACACCCAGGATGATGCTTCCCATGATGACGTGTGTCTGAACGCTTTCCATCATCAGCTTGTTCACGTCGCGCATGTCTTCGCGAATTTGAATGGAGCGTTCATACCTTACGTGGAAGTCAATGCAACGCTTCCCGAGCAACAGAGCTAAGGTGCTGGGCATTACTGCAGCACAGTCGTTTTTGGAAACCAAGCACCTCCAATCTCAATCTTTAAGCCTTTCCCGACCTAACCAACTCCAGCCGATCACCATAGTGACTTCCATCATTCATCCAAGCGATAACGCTCCAAAATCAGGGACTTGCTACATAGATCACCAACATGCTCATCCCCAAACTCAGAGGGTCTCTCTCCCCATCGCCATCCCCAAACTCAGAGGGTGTATAATCAGTTTAAGGACTTGTTTGTTCCCTGGAAGTTTTTCCCATTGTCTGCGGGATCTGGAAAACTTGGATCCGTTGCCATTTAACCGTTATCAACCCAGACGTGTAGACGTGTCAGTGATCTCCAAAACAGCCAACCGCCCTAGTTGCAATCTGGTTGGTGGTATCCCTACCCCTCTGAAAAATCATGGGCTTCGTCAAATGGGATGATTTTCCATTCCTAATATGATGGGAAAATCATAATCCAGCCATGTTCCAGTCACCACCAGCAACCATGAGTAATCATGAGTCATCACTTGCATCTCAACCTCTGATCCCCCAAAAAAATCCATCCCATCCCCATCAGCCTTCAAGGCCCTCGAGGCCCTTGAGGCGGCCCAGGCACCTCACCTGCTGCCGGAAGATGTCCTGGGCCACCTTGGCCTGGTGGGCATCACCGGTGACAGCCACGAAGGACCCGAAGATGCTGCTGGCCAGGTCGGCCACCTCGGGATGGGATGGGATGGGATGGGATGGGGTGGATTTTGCATGGAAAAATCTATGAAAAGATATAGGAAATCGATGGAAATCTTCAAGATTTGATGAGATGTTTAAGTGAAACACAGTGAAACCATTGAAGCGTGTTTTTAATGGGATGTTTATGTGATGATTCGGATGTACGAAAAACATGTAGGACATCTTAAAATTTGAAAGATTGCGATGGAGAAAGCAGTATGGTTTGCCTGTGGCTTTTCTATGGAATCCAGCAGGTCACTGTGACAGGAATACAAACTCCAGCTTTTGACATGACATGATTATAGCAAACATGATGTGCATTCCTGGCAACATCAGCAAACCAGCCCCTGCACTTCAAAACTCCTAAGCGTCCTAGGCCCCCAGCCTCACGACTTCTGGACAAGAGCAGTCCAAAGACTGTGCCTAAGACCCCTAGCAGTAGCATCTTAGAAGGCCAAGCAAGGCCCTTCTTACTTCAGGGCTCTGTTTGTTCCACCCATCACTGTATTGCTGCGGCTTGCCACTGAAACCAGCATCTCCATGGCTGGCACAATGACTCAAGTCACAGGTGGATCGCAATACAAGAAAGCAGGGAAAATAGCTGTTTACTGTAATGGGGTTTGGGGGTGCCTTGAGGGTTTGATCAAGGATTCTCATGGATGTTAATGGATTTGTTTGGTTTCCTGGATTGATGTGTCTTGATGTCTGGTGTTTGGTGTTGCCTGGCTGGTTCTTATTTTTTTCTTCTGGTGACTAGGGTGGCTCAGCAGTGGTGACATCCGCCCATGGGAGGTGCTAGCTGGCAAACTCTCGGCTTCAAGGGTTGACATGGTTCACCGAAAGACAACCGTAGTTCAGTATCTCTCCCTTCATGGAGCTTGAGCATAAAGCAAACCCCGAGACGTGCACATCACAACATGTTCTTGATTTTTTTGTGCCATCCATGGCATCCATGTAAATCCTAAGTGCAATCTGTGATGACACTTGACCACCACCATGTTCCGCACCTAGGATCACGGTATCATCCACCTGGCAAGTCCAGGGATGAGGATCTATGACTCACCCTGTCACCCTGGATGTGTTTTCATTGACAAGAACACATGGACATATATGGTACCATATTTGAACATATATCTGGGTAAATTATAATATTTCACTAACCTGAATAGTTCGGCCATTTGGGGATGATTTCCCTTGCTAACCATGATTCCAGGGCTCGGTCGCAGTGGAACATACATAGAACATACATAGAACATAGACCATTGTCACCACTATCACTATCCGCGCCTGACACCACAGACCTCGACCATCCATCCAGCTGCGGAACAGCGTCAAGGGCATGGTGGGCCAAAAGTAAAATCTCGACAGCACCTGGCCCAAAATCAATGGATTGGTTTCAGGGTAAATCTATAGGACTATAGGAAATATGTGGAAATATAAGGAAATCCTGCGGATTGTGCCTTAATACCAATTCTGGCCCAAAACTTGGCTTTTCTGTGGAAAAAGATGGAAAGAGAACGAAACTCTGGTGCTCGTTGTATCACCCATTGAATGCTGAGGTGCTGTAGAAATCACAATCTGTTGCGAAGCTAAAAGTATGTGCACTGCCATCTTGAGTTTGGGGGGATCATCAATGATGAAATAAACTCTATATATATATCTATCTCTATATATATATATTATACACATCTATATATATAATATGACTTTCGCTCGTCGCCAGCACCGGAAGTCACTGCAAATCCAAGCCCTGCCCCACTTGAAACGTGCCTGGGAAATCTGCACAGGAAGGTACTTCTTCGAAAAGAACTCAGCAGAACTCCAAAGCACCACCCAGTTCTTAGGCTCATGGATTGCCCGTAACTACAACAGTACCCTGGCGAAAGCCTGTAAAAGGACATCTGGATAGATCTGGTGGGACATCCCTGCCATTGGCCTCTGAGGTTATGACCAAGACCGCCATCAGCAGCCAAAGCCAAAGCCCCAGGCGCACCGGCCCTCGCCAGGCCTGGGGCCAATGATAAAAGTTGATATCAGGCAGAGGGATTCACAAACATGTCGGCATTGTCTCATCTTAACAATAAACAGAAACATGGAAAACATCCTCATCTTCATCTTTCTGTTGCTTCTTGCTAGGGACAACATGTCTAAAATAATTGTATGGCATCTATAAGTGGCTTCAATGTCACCAGGATTCATTGCCCGAAACCTGCATGGCACAATCTTTTCCGCTGGCATTGCCAAATCCGCCTGTTCTATACATTCAGCCCTTCACAACTACCACCGCCCTTCAGAACTCATCTTCACAATTCCAGGCTGCATCTCAATCCGCATCTCAGGTATCTCAGGTGTCTCACTTCTTGGGCTGCGCGCTGATGTACAGCACGTTGTTGCCTCGGATGAAGGTATCGCCGTACTTGTGCTTCAGCTGACCATCGATGTACTCCTCGGTTTGCTCCATGGCGAGGTTCATGTAGCCATCCTGAGGTGAGACCCCTGGTGTTTCTTGGGGCGGGGGGTTAAGCTGCTTAAGCTACCTGGTTTCTTGGGGTTGTATGGAAACATATGGAAACCCTTACCAACCAATCAAATCCAATCAAATCCAATCAATAGACATAATCTTGGGAATGTTCCTCTCAGCCATAAACAAAAACCCGGAAATAGAACATCTGGCAGCTGCCTTGCGCACAACCAAGCATCAAGACACGACAAAATGCCACGGTAGTCGGCTCCGTTGTTCAGCTTCACAATGACCGGCCGGCCCAGCACCTGACAGATGCGTCGCATCTAAAAACGGGACCTGTGGGATCACCCCAGCTGGGATCCCATGGATAAAATGATGATTTTAATTGAATTTTTACATGTAAATCATTGGATGATTGGAGAACTTGGATGATTTTCATCAGATTGGATAAGTTGCATGATTTTTGGATGTTGATCCCACCATATCCCACCTGTTTGATGAAGTCTCCCGGTGACTTCTTGGACATCCTTGTTCTCGGCTCGGCCGCGGTAGCACTGTGGTAGCGGTGGTCTCTTGAGCCCGCATGGCGATAGATGGCCCATTTAGTTCGATGCTTTAGCTGTGACAAATGGTGCTGTTCCGTAGCTATGTCAAATTTCTCGGGGGCAACCAGATTTCAGTTCAGCATCAGTCGCACCATTCGGATGAAAGCATCCGAAAGTTGTGGAAGGAAGGCCAGACAAAAATTGCAAGTACTATCTTCGAACGCTTAAACTAGTAACTAGAGAAAGTGTTGCGACTACAACACACCCCAGCTGCCATCGTGCCTGCGCTCCGGGTTCCCTGGTGGCAGACAAGGCTTGCTCATGGTTTCTCTAAACCCTGTGGGAACTGTAGGACCCTCAAATAGAACAGTTGAGGGATCACCATCTTTCGTGGCCTCCCTTGCGCCATGGGGAGATCCATCAAACCTCAGACATCGGCAAGAACCACAGTACAACCAGAGTTGCCATCACAAAATACCATATATAATATATACTCTGTAGAATTATATATATATATGCAAATATATATAATGTATTATGTATATTAATGTATATTATATATTATATCAAGTATGTATATATATATGCAAATATTTCCACTGGCTCGAACCTCTCTCCCTTGCTGGCATGGTTTCTGTACACCTGGCATCTATTGGTCTGGGCTTCAAACGGTGAGCATCAGCGCCACACGATGGAGGTCGTTTTGGGAAGGGTAGTGTCTTGGATTGTTAAGGTTCTTTATGGCTCTTTGCTGTGCCTTGGGAGTCTGACCAAAGTTGATGGTTGATCCCACACAAATCCTGGTGCATCCCATCTTCGGGAAGTTTTCGGTCGATTCTTCCTGTGTTCGAATATCAAGCTAACTGCAAGTTCAACCTTCCGTGCTCAGCTCGTGTGCTGTAGCCATGGTTGAGCTAAACCCACACAAGTCATAGTCCACTCGCACGACGTATACCAAGTTCTAACTATCGGTTTCTGTAAATGCCAGCCAATTTTGGGCACTTGATGTCCGAAGGGAAGTGATGAAGATTCATGGCAAAAGCTGCATGACTGCGTTTTTGAGTCACTGCAGCCTCAAATCTGGCTGCCCCCAAGCAAAGTCGCTATCAAATGAGCTTTACTTCGATATGTAAATTTAAGCAACTGGGCTCTGGAAACTCTGCCATTCATTATACTGGTTGGTTCAAAGCTACTCCCACGCTGGATGATAGCAACCCGAAGTGAAACCAATTAGTGTGACATGTGTCTCTTTCAATGTGTGGACTCCCCCAAACCATTCCCAAAAAATGACTCATGTTGGTGTCACCAATTTTGATCAATTTTGGGGTTTTAAGGGAAATCTATGGAAATCTTCCATGAAACCATGGTTTTTCAATGATATTTTTACATGCTGTTCACATGGTAACCTTGCCACCCCCCAACCTGCCGCAGCTCGTCGATCGAGGATTGGGCAGCTCCAGACTGCAGGATGGCCTCAAGGGCAACAAGTGGGTGATGACAAAAACATGTCATGACCCCTATATTATACAATATGATAAATTAATATAATATAATATAATATAATATAATATAAATATAATATAAATATAATATAATATAATATAAATAAAATATAATATAATATAATATAACTAATATAACATAATGTAATATTGATCAATATATCCTGTGGTTCTAAGATGTTCTTTTTGTATGGCCGTTCATAGCACTAACTGGCTTGCAACTGAAAGGAACCCGAGTTTTGGACCCGATTTCTGGGACATAACTTGTGAGGCTTCATCTGAGATGACAGATCTGGGCCGGAGTATTGGTTTTCAATGGTTTTCACCACAGAAAAAGCTGGGTATCAGTGGTCCATCCCCTTTCTGCTGCTGGTGATGCCTCCCATTTGGGGATGCTGGTGACACCCCGCGGACCTCCAGCTCAGGAATCGTCACCATGCCCGTGCCCTTGAGATCTAGGGCCTGGGCTTCACCGAATATCACCGAAGTGTGTCAGTTTTTGTCCATATGGTCCATATGAGCTTTTATGGCAGGTCATCAACATTCCATAAAAAATCGAAAATCTGAGTGCATCCAATCATATTCCAATCATATTCCAATCATCTAATATGATTGCCTGTGTCCTTTCCAACCAAAAACTCAATCTGGGATGGCACCCCATCTGGGCTGCCGCTGCCCCGAAGTGTTGCCAGAGCGGTTCCACCTCCTCATGGCCCAACTGCATGGCCACCGATCGCAGTGCGGCCTCTGGAATGACCGCTGTCGCCAGGGAGGGGATGTGAATCGAAAATCCCCAAAAATGGAGGTTTGAATGGGAAAATCAGAGAGAAATATAGGACAATCCACCTTAAATGGAGAATAATGGAAGTTTATAGCTGGGAAAATCATCGAACTGATTGTTGGAGTTTCTGGCAAGCCATGTTTGATGACCAGAAGGTTAATCATGATGCTACTTGGTGGTTCATTCCAGTTTTTAGTTCTGGGCCATAACCCTAGTTATAACTGGACTAAGCCTACTACGTGGGATGAATCGCTGGGATCATCGTCGCAAATCTGGGTTCAAAGAAGACATACTTAAAACCACCATGCAGCTACATATAATGGTGATAATACAATGGGATAATTACTATCCATTAAAAAAATGCCAGCAAAATAACTCCCCATGTTGTAAATAGTGATTGTGCGAATATAAGGGGATTATTATTAACAGGGCAACCAACCAGCAAGGGACGTTGCAAATGTGTTCCTTTTTTAACGGGATAAATCAAGAATTGGAAGTTATATAACCAACAAAACGATGATTCAATGAAGAGAATAGTGGGATATATAATTGCATATATATATATATGCGTGTGTTATATGTATATTATGATGTTATATCATATTATAATTATATCATAATTATATTGTATTATGTTGTGTTATGTTGTGTTATGTTGTGTTATATATGTTATGTTATATGTATATATATATAGATAGTCAGCAGGATGATATTTGAGTCTGCCTGGAAATGGGATGTCTATCTCAAATGGCCCTTGAATAATGGTGAAAAGAATGATTTTTTGCATCAAATTTGGGAGCACCCTATTTGGGAAAATACCAAACATACATAAAAATACAAATACATTTTCCAGTTTTTGGGAGGGGGAACTGGGTTGATATCCACAACTGTTAGCCATGTGGGTATTCACCAGGCCGGGTACCATTTTGATCCGTAGCCATACCTTGGTTTCTCCAAAGATGTTGACTTAAAATCTCGGACAGAATCTTGGCAGCCCCGCCCGCTGAAAGGCACTGTGCTTGGAAAATCTCAAGAGGTCCTCAGCACGGAACAAGGTCCACACCAATATCATACATCCATCTAGTGGATCTAGTGGTAAATGTCGACCTTCAAGCAAGTGGCTGTCACCTGGCAAGGGGAACAAATCTCCCCAACCTCTTGCCAAGGGGCTGGGATGACAAACGACTGCAGAGGTGTTGAACGTCGAAGTTCAGGGGCGGCGTAGTGGAACCATGCATGCTCACGAGCCTGCTCCAACCCCACCACTGGAGAAAACCGATGAAAATCGTAAGAATGTTTGGGAAAGCGGTGGCATCATTGTTGGTAACTTGCCAACTTTGGACTGAAACTTGGACTTGATCAAGAAGGCCCACCTGTGAAGCAGTGGCCCGGTCCACAGCGTGAAACTTCAGCAACTTGCGAATGAGGTCTTTGCCATCTTCGGACCTTGGCAGGTTTATCAGTAAATTAAATTAGCATTTTCCTGGGTGGGTTTTGGAGCACCCTACTTTTCGTAAAGAAATGAGCTCACATTGTGACAAGACAAATCCCTGCTGACAGTTTGCCTCGCTCACAGCTCAAGATGCGCACACATTGTCCCAAATACCATCGCTGAAGGCGTAGTTGCCCTTCCGTACTGCTTTTGCCACCTGACACCGAGGGATGTGTAAACAGGTATGCCTTTTATACACCATACCAGGGAAAAGAAGGATGGTAAAAGGGTCATAGAAGCCGACGGCCACCACAAGGACGAGGAAAGGAAGAAACCGTTAGCCGTTAACTTTCAACTGATTCCGAAGGAAGGAAGCCTATAGCTGCATCTTGCCATATCTTGCCAAAACCCAGCCTCCGCCTCATTTTTCCCATTGAAGGGCAGCAGACAGCCCAAAAGCATCTGGGCACAGTGGTTGCCGGTTGCCCGTGTGAATGGACTGCTGAGGCGATTCGCTCTGTCACTAGACCCACTAGGTCGATGTCACTAGGCACCCCAGACGTACATGATGACACCGCAGCTCCAGAGATCAGCTGAACTGTCATAAACACCACTGAGAACCTTGCCAGGCTCTGGAGCAGGGGAGGAAAACTTTGTCAAAACAATAGTTGGTCATGTTTCGCCAGGTAACTGATACAATACAGTACATAGATTGACTTGAAACAAATAGATGCAGATAGGGTAAAGCCAGATTTAATCGTTTCAACAGTGACCCACCCTCTGAGCCGCCTGAGGGGAGCAGTATAAGACAGTGCCCACTTTGCTGCTGAGCACTTCTCCAGGTGTGAAGCTGCATGCCAAGCCAAAGTCAGCCAGTTTCAACCTCAGTTTCATGTTTGGGCAAGCCTACCCAGCAATTCCATGCAATTCCAGGATTGGTTTAAGTTGTTGAAGATATTATACTACATGGAAATGGAGATCGCTCTCTCTCTCTCTATATATATATATACATATACACTGTACTTGATGATAAGAATGCATTAAAACCATGGATTTTCCTACCAGTTTCCGGCAATCTTTCACGCGTGCAGGATCCACATCTGGGAAGCCCGACACATTGGTCTCAACTGGCCCCTGATGGCTTCGGGTCTGGTTTTTGATGAACAGTGTGTTGAATCCAGGATCGAAATGGTTTGCAACAAGCCTTGGACACCTTTCTGAAACAATCTGGACATCCTCGGCGTACATTTATCAGCATTTAATCATGTATAGCGTGTATAGCGTGATGTGAGTCATCTAAGCTCGGAAGCTCCAAACTCCATCAACACCTCCCCAGGCCTCGCGCAAAAAGAGGAAGTTGTGTGGCTTCAGATCTCTGTGACCTGCAGCACATGGTGCAGCAACTGCAGCACCGTATGATCCGTATGGTTTATGACCAAGCCACAAATCCCCTTGCAGTCGTGCAAGTAGTTCACCTGAAAAAGTGGCACTATGAATCACTGGGAAAACCAATTGCAATCGCTTGGTATCACCCAATGGCATAATGGTCATGTTTCCAAACGGAGGATTCAGGACATGCAGACTCTTGAGTCAGGCTATCGGATAACTCCCTTCCAACTGCGATCCCAAAATCCCCAAAGCTCTGCCCCAAACACCATCTGCCCCAGTCCGCCAAATGGCAGATTTCAAGATCTGTTCCATGAGGATGGCTGCCTGACCGGGGGAGATGTGGCTTATGTGGCTTGCATGCCGTGGCCCAAGAATCCACAGACCCGACTGGGCCCGACTCGGCCCGACTCGGCCCATGGCCTGACGCTCCGTGTATGGTCCGCCCTGCTTGCAGCGCATGTGTTTATCCAAATCTCCTCCGACACAAAGCTCCAGGACCTTCCACAGCGCCCAGATGCATATGCTGAAATCCCTTGATGGCAGCTGACAACCACGAAACGTTTATGTTGGGGGTGATCTGGCCTATACAACATCTCGCATCATCTCGCAATCAATCATTTACATCCTTGCGACCTTCGGATTCTGTCGGATCTACTTCAGCTGCCCTAGCCGTCCAGCCGGCTCCAGGGACCCGGACCAGGTAGAGGTGTGATTTGTCCTCAAAAGTCTCGTGCAGCATCAGCACATTTGGGTGGTCTGTCCTGACAAGCCCCGCAAGAACATGGCTGGAACGTCATTCTTGGCAGAATCATTGAACTGCCATTGGTCAAACCTCTGGGCAGCTCTCAAAGACACTCAAGTTGTTTGAACTCTCTGTGCTACATGGTCATGCTATCAATCTTACAAATATCATTGTCATTGCTGCTGCGATTCTTGTTGTTCTTAGTTGATGTTGTTGTTATCACTTCTACTGTTTAAAATGTTAGTATGGTATTGCTGTATTTATAGCAACCTGGACAGTCATTATAATTGTTATCACTGTTATTAGCAGCACTTATACCATTGTATGATGATTATCATCATAGTAGCTGCACTATTCTTATCACTATTATCACTAGAATCACTACTCTATATAATTCTTATGCAATACTTCATTGTACACTATCAATATGATTTCATACATACATATAGTTTTTAATCTAGTTATATATATATAACAAATATAACATGTCTAATTCTTGGCATCATATGTAGCCTCTGTTCATGGACCAGGCCGCCATTGCGGGACCCTGGGACCCCTGCAGCTTCATCACATCGATCTCGCTGCGGACTTGCACGCGGCGCTGCTTCGCTTTGGCCTGTGATCCACGGAATCCAAGGCAGCTGGTCATGGTCAGACTATGTGACTATAGGCTACTATAGGATACTCTAGGTGCAAAAATCTTAAATCACTTCATTCATATTTAATTCGATTTAATGATTCAATGGGGGTCAAGGATGTCAAGCAATACTTGAGAGATGAAGGATTTCCACTTCGGCTGCTACTTGAATGCCAAACTGCTGGGAGCGCCTTGGAGACCTTCTTCACAGCGTACTGGTTCCCGGTCTCAAGGCTTCTGCCCTGGGTGACGTAACCAAAGCCGCCTTCCCCGAGCTTTTCACTGCTCAGGGTGTAGCACGCTTTCACATTACCTCAGATTGGCTGCTGCACAGCTGCACGATGCTGCACGGATGAGGCTGCGCCAACCAAACGTCCCTAGCTCCAGCTGCCGTCACAAATGCCGGGCAACCATAGGTGTGCAAAATCAGGTTGTTGATCCTGAATCGGTTCACATCCGTGATGCATTGAAAAGTAGGGGCAGGGCCCAATCATCAGAAGTGCTTATGTGAGCAGTGGACCAAATGATCAAAATGCCGGATGCTAATACCAAGAACAACTAAGATGATGGGGTTGTGGCCCAAGAATGAGGTACCAATCGGCCCATAAATTTGGTCATAGTTTGTAATTGAGCACGCATTCTTGGCTTAAACAACTTTGAGCCATTCCCACGGAACCAGGTGGAACAAGGGTTTGTCTGAAAACATGGTATCCAAAATTTAATGGTTTATCAACATGATTTTGCCCAAGGAAATTGCTACGTTGGTGGTAAATTCCATTTTCAGGTACCAAACCCACCTAGCCGTAGCTTGTCGACATCAACTGCCATCTACTGAATTCGGTCTGCTCATCTGCCCAGCGTGCGCGAGCCGCCTACAGATCTCTGAACAAAGCCGTTTATAGCAAACAGATTGAAAAGTAACGCAGCATTTAATAAAATAGCAGGTGTTTGCTTTTCATTACTTTTCTATCTTTTTGTCTTGGTGGGGCTATAGCCAAAAACATTGCTGTTGTGCCATTTCCAAGTACAGTAGCAATAACTATGCCATGCAGCTGCTGGCGTCACAGTTCATCCTGATGGAGTGCCCCGTGCCTCATCCTCCTCGGAAGATTCTACCGATTCAGACTCGTCAGGCGGCCGCCTGAGCTATGCGCACTTGAGTAGCTCAAAGATTCAATGGCACCCTTCAGTAAAATCATTTAGAATATTTAGATGTAGAAAATCCACCATTTGCACCTCATTTCCCACCTCATTTCCCACCTCATTTCCCACCTCATTTCCCACCCAGGGAACCCGTGGATTTCCATGGCTTCTGTTAGTACTATCAGGAAAATGTCTTCAAAATCTCCACACATCAAACTTCAACCCCCAGAACCAGTTTCCCCTTCGAAGCCGGACCATGTTGGTGTTCGTTTCGAGTGTCCCTTACTTCTTGCAGTGCCTTTGTTATCCTTGCTGTGAGCCATACTTCGATAATTTCGATCTTCATCCAACTTGGTGGCAGCCAACCTGGCTAGATTCAAATAATTCATCAACCTGAAAAGTTCATTCGTTTGGGGGTACCCCCAATCCACTTCCAATCATTCCAGTGGTTTTTCCACGGCGAGGTCGTTGATGACAGATTATTGGTTGGGTACTATATCCTTGGTTCATATCACCCCGTCCATTTCCCTCAGGTAATCAAAGGTGGCAATGGAAAATAATCTATAAATAGAGGTTTCAATGGGAAAAAGAATTTTTCCGGCAAGCCACGCTTGATTGCCAAAGGGCAGCTATGGAATATACGGCCGGTTGGTTGGTTCGATGATTTAGCTGTAAAAAGTGGTGATTTTCCACAGCTATGTTCAATTACCAGAGGACATCTGGGGAAACAAGCCGTTTTATAGGGCTTTTTCATGGGTGGGGTAAATTGACCAAGCATTTTATGGTAGAAACCTCCATTCATAGTGAAGGTTCCTATATTTTCCTATGATTTTCCCATTCAAAGCTCTATTCATGAGGATTTCCCAGCCACGTTGACACCGGCCTGGGCTTAGATGAAGTGGAGTCCACACCTGCCGCCGCAGCAGGGGCATAGGCCTGGCCGGGTGAATTGCCGAAATGGCCCAGATGTCAAACCAGTGACTCAATGATAAGTATTACCCATGAATATAGGACCTATTTCTTTATTTTCTGTTGATCAACCATGGAACTCCTTGTTCCACCCTTTCTATAGTATTCTATGCATGCACATGCATTTCCAAAGGTGCAGGGTGGAATGCTACTGGATGTCCTGCGCGCTCAACCCCCAACAAACCCCCAACAAACGGTCTGCAACAGCGCACCTGACTGTGTCCCTTGGTGTGCCAGACGTGCCAGACAACTGGAGGGGACAAATTGCCTGTGGCCTATGCTGTCGATCGCCCCCTGGGCCCTGGGGGCCCGGCTTGAGAGCAGCAGATGCCCATGACCGCCGTGGCTCCGTTGGTTCTGAGCCAGACCAGTTGGGACGTTGGGACCAAAATGGGCGCCGGAAACCTGTCATGGCTCCCTTTGGCACTTGAAAGACACGTGAAAAACGTGAAGAGATAGGATCAAAACCGAACGACAAAGTGTGTCATGACTGCTCAGCGTGCATATCAACCACATATGTGCAGATCAGAGTTGCTATAAGCAAAAATGTACTAATTTAATCTGGTCCAAATCTATATAAAG